AAATTTGGCACTATTGCACTTTTGCACCTCTACCAGTTTCCGTGGTTGTAGAGAATTGAAATTTGCAGGGGATGTTCAGCGGGACTAGCCATGATCTCACACCAAATTTCAGCCGAATCGATCAATAACTTTTTTATTTAACCGACTTTTTATCTTCAGACGAGATACGATTTCATCCGTTCGACGCCATTTTCTTTGTTGACTATTTAGACTCGAATAACAAGACACTAAGACGGATTCCGACACATTGCGCTTCCTGTCTAACACTGCAGTTTGTAATAATAATAATAATTTTCGTATACTTTAATTTGAGCGATAAGCCACCATTGTTTATAAACGACTATTTGGCGATGACTAGTTGGATTGGCCTTTACGTGTGAATATCACTGTGACCTTGACGCCGACCCCGACTTCAAATTTCCCATCGAGATCGGGACCTTTGCACTTATATGTGCTACACCCCTATTTCTTGCTGTATATTAGAGATTAATGTTCGGGGTGAAAATAGAGAATATGCCCCTGATAAATGATGATTATATGTGCTACGCCCCTATTTCTTGCTGTATATTAGAGGTTAATGTTCGGGGTGAAAACAGAGAATATGCCCCTGATAAATGATGATTGGGTCAAAGTAGTGGGTCATAGTCATGTTACAGAAAATTGAACTCAAACTTTTTAAAGGCAGTTTTGGGACATTTGACCTTGACTTACGACCTTCACCCCGTAACCATTTTAAAAGACCATCATCTTGGCTTGGACCATCAACGTTTACCTTGGTTCTGCCACACACTGCTTGGTCAGAAAACGGTCAAACGCAGAGGGTCAGTGTTCGAAAGGAAAGCTATGGGCGTGGTCAATATGAAAGGTCATGCTGACCTCCAGTAAACAACGCTAACCAACCTTGACATCTACTTTGACCTTGACTTCAAACTTCCCATCGATCTCGGGGCTTTTGCGTTTATGCTTGCCATGGCCCATATCTTGCTGTATTATCATGGTCAATGTTTGCCTTGAAAGCAGAGATGACGCCCTTCAAAAAAGATAACTCAGTCAAAGTCGTGGGCCAAGGTCATGTTACAGAAAATTGATCTCAAACTTTTCAAAGGCAGTTTTGGGACATTTGACCTTCACTTACGACCTTCACCCCATATCCATTTTAAAAGGCCATCATCTTGGCTTGGACCATCGACATTTACCTTTGTCCTGTCACACACTGCTTAGTCAGAAAACGGTCAAACACAGAGGGCCCGTGTTCGAAAGGAAGACAATGGGCATGGTCAATAAGAAAGGTTGTGGTGACATCCGGTCATCAACGCTAACCAACTGTGAACAGGACTTTGACCATGACTCCAAACTTCCCATCTATATCGAGGCCTTTGCGTTCATGCGCGCCATGGCCATATTTCTTGCTGTTTTATCAAGGTTAATGTTGGAGGTCAAAGCAGTGACGACACCCTTCGGAAAAGATGATTGTGTCAAAGTCGTGAGACAAGGTCATGTTACAGAAAACTGAATTCAAACTTTTCAAAGGCAATTTTGGGACATTTGACCTTAAATTACGACAATCACCCCGTAACCATTTTAAGAAACCATCATCTTGGCTAGGACCATTGACGTTTACCTTGGTCCTGTCACACACTGCTTGGCCAGCAACCGGTCAAACGCTGACAGCCTGTGTTCGAGAGGAAGGCTATGGCCGTGGTCAATATGAAAGGTCGTGGTGACTTCCAGTAATCAACCGTGACTTTGATTTTGACCTTGACTCCAAATTTCCCATCGATTTCGGGACCTTTGCGTTTATGCGCGCTATGGCCTTATTTCTTGCTGTATTATCAAGGTTAATGTTCGAGGTGAAAGCAGAGATGACGCCCCTCAGAAAAGATAATTGGGTCAAGTTGTGGGTCAAGGTCATATTACGGGAAACTGAACTCGAACTATTTAAAGGCAGTTTATGGACATTTGACCTTCACTCTGTAACCGTTATAAAAGGCCATAATCTTGGCTTGGACCGTGATAGGTTTTCTCCGAAGATTTTCTTATGGTCAAATCAGTTTCTATCAGGAGAGGGTGTCGAGTTTCTATTGTTTGTTTATTTCGATAAAAAGTAGAAATACAAATTGACGATCTTTATTATTATACAGTATATTCCCGTCCACAATGCGAAAATTTAATACAAAATAATTGTCCCTTGTGCAATTTGCATGCATGTTTGAACCCAAATACAGGGAGTATTTATTACCACTTTCTTTTATTTGTATGGAATTGGGTGATAAATATATATTCATGTTCAAGAAATGGGTGTTTTCAGATTTAGATCCCATGGTTTGCATGACAACGGATATGTGTTTGAGTAATAAAACACATAAGCATATATTGTGAAGTTGTCAAAATTCTAATAAGAGAGAGAGAGAAATGGGGTTTAACGTCTACTTGACACAAACTAGGTCATTTCGGGACTAACATATGGTTTAATTTTATTTACATAACTCGCTTGCGCGTAGGGGTCTTTAGCAGTGGGAGGAAACCGGAGGACCCGGAGAAAAAGCACGAGGTTGCACAGGCGACCCTACTCCTTGCCACGTACAACCGGGGATTCGAAACCACGCCAGTCAACTCAATGACAGACTGTATGATACATCGCGCGCACGCTAACCATTCAGCCATCCAACCCCCCCCCCTCTAATAAGAAGTACAAAATTAAAATAACAATGATACAGAGAAATCCCAATCATATAAAGGCCAATATTCAATCTGCAAAATAGTTAATTATTAAAACATAGTTAAAACTTCAAAAAGTGTGACGAATAATCACTAAAAAAAAAACAACGGCAACAAATCACGAACAATACAAATATCAATTTCAAGCTAAACAACATAGATCTGTTGATCGTGTACGGTCTAACTATTAATCACTAAATGACAATTAATGACAAATCTCTATTGGTTAGGGTTTTGTCATTTGGTATACGTAATACTTTTTCCTGAACTAATTACATCGCCGAAGGTATATACAGCTTTGTTGTTAATGCAAACAACAGTTTCTGACATGAGCAAGTGCCCAGAAGCAAACACACCAGGAGTCAATTCAAACTGTCACACTGGTAAAGGTCGATGATGGGCATTTGAAATGGTTACAGAGTGAAGGTCGTAAGCCAAGGTCAAATGTTCAAAAACTGACTTTGAAAAGTTTGAGTTGCCTGCTTTAAACCCCAGACATTAACCTCATACATGCAGCAAGAAAAAGCCTGGGCATAGCACATAAGCGCAAAGGTCCCGATCTCGATGGGAAATTTAAGTCAGGTTCAGCGTCACGTAAAGGCTAATCCAACTAGTCATTGCCAAATAGTCGTTTATAAAAAATGGTGGCTTAACGCAAAAGTTAAAATATACGAAAATTATTGTTATTATTACGAACTACAGCGTTAGGCAGGAAGCGTAGTCTTAGTGTCTTGTTATTCGAGTCTAAATAGTCAACAAAGAAAATGGCGAAGAATGGATCAATTTGTATCTCTTCTGAAGATAAAAAGTTGGTACAATAAAAAGTTATTCATCGATTCGGCTGAAATTTGGTGTGAGATGATGGCTAGTCCCCCTTAACATCCCCTTAACGGGAACTGATAGAGGTGCGAAAGTACAATAGCGCCCAAAATTTCAACATTTATCACTACGGAAAAATGCCACACCTTACACAAGTAAACTTACAGGAACAGAGCTATTGGCATGCTGGATCAGGAGGCTTCACAGATACACTTTATGTCCACCCATTGACCATTGCTCGTCTCAGACCACACTTCCACGCCAATGGAAGAGTTGCCGATTGACCCTGACCTGGAGCGCCACCTGTAACAACTACTGCTCAAGATTGCCACATCCGACTACAGCATCTGCGCAACAGGTTCCAGTTAGCTACTGCTACTGCAAGGGGAACTGTTGGAACACGGCAACGTCAGATCAGCCCTCAAACAGTCTGAAGACGCCTGGCTGTTCTTGGGTTACGCTGCCGTCGACCATACCAAGCTCAAATCCCTTTGCATCGTCATCAACTTGCCATGGGCCACAAATCAGGGATATCTGCATAACACACCATGGCGAAATGTCATCTTCTTGGATGAATCGCGATTCAACCTCAGTTTTCCTGATGGACGTAACCGTATCTACCGTCGTCGACATGAACGCTTTGCTCGTAACTGCGTGCTGGAAAGGGATCGTTTTTTTTTGGGGGGGGGGGGGAGGTGGCGGCATGGTTTGGGCCGCTATCAACGTCAACTTCCGGACCCAGTTAGTGGTGGTCCAAGGCAATCTCAACGCTCAACATTATGTTGACGCCATCCTTCGTCCGGTGTTATGGTTGGCCATAACCTGATCGAACACCTTTGGGATGAACTTGGACGACGAGTTCGAACTCAAGCCGTGGCACCACAAACTGTTCCAGACTTGGCACAGGCACTCTAAAATCATTGGCAAACAATCCCACAGCGTGTAGAGTGACATCTGTGCCAGTCCATGCTAAGGCGAATTCAGGTATGAGTAAGAGATCAGGGGGTGGACATACCCAATATTGACTTCAGCTGACCCCTGCTTTGTTTCATGGTTCTCTGACGTTACGGTTTTGTGCATTTGTAGTGAATTCTTTTGTGAAATTATCCACAGATGCTTGTTATCTCGATTTTGTCAATTGTTATGTACATTTGTTAAAAGTTGTTGCAGTAAATAAACTTTGAATTTGGCATTGCGTTCTTAATGGCTTTGAGTGTATATGAAATCCTTGAAGATCAATACGATTCTTTGTCTCATGAGCTTAAACACTGTGTATAAATTTGAAGTCATCCAGATGATAACTTTAGCTTCTAGATCATCCACAAGTTACTGTGGATGATGATGGACTGATGGATAAGGGCGACGACAATATAAGATTACATTTCAATGTGGGCTTATAAAATAAAAATATATAATAATTTAGTCACAGTATAAATTGTTCCAATTTCTTATGTTTAACTTACAGTTCTTTAAAGAGTTCTTCTATATCAGTTCTTGGGCAAATTTTGTGATATAATTCATAAAATTTGTCAAAGGTAAATGCTGATGGTTCAATTTCATCAAACTGTAATTGATAAAATAATCAGATTATTTTAAAGACTATAAATAAGACAACAATTGCCAATAATGGTAGAGTATATTCTTTGAATGGCATTTAGTAATTGGAACATAATCAAATGACACACTATTTATGGAATAACACTTACTATCGTTTATTTCACCGCGACGTTTCAACAAGATTTCACATATTGGTCACTTTTCAGTATTGGGCACTTTTAGAATTAAAATTTTGATATTTCAAATATTTCATTACTTTCCATCCATGCACCAATACCTGCTGTAATATTGTAAATAAAACTGGTTCAGTGAATATTTTTTGAATTTTTTTATCTATCAACAATTGTCAAAATTCGTTATTTTCAACCTGCAAAATTGTGACATGGAAATCTGAACCTTTTCATTCCATGATTGCCAGTATTACGGGCAAAGAAATGAAGCATTCTGACTTTTAATGAAATAAATAATTGTTCAAATCATCATTTAAAACCATATTTGACACTCCCCTGTTTGTTGATTGCTTTTTACATTCATCTGACTATGAGGTTGCGCACGTTACCTTTCGTGTCCATAAAATATTAAAAAATTGTTTTTGTTTGGGAAACCGCAATGGGACGATAAACCTACGAATGTTATTTTAGAATGTTGAATTCGGTCGTTCTAAAGAATATACCTTTGCATGACAAGCCAAAATTATAATGTAATGAAAAAAAAAAACAAAGGTCATTCATTGATACATTTATTCATGTCCTATTTTCATTTGTAACGTCGCTAAAACATTTACTTCCTTCGTCTTCGATCACCCATCCATCGCTGTAGGCGGTCCTTTGTTTCTAAAAATAGATATTTACGACACTGTCGGCAGACGGCATTTGTTTCATCTTTGGTCTTGTTGTGTCCCGCCAGGTGTGAAAGCTGTAACGTCTGTAAGAATTGTGAGTATACATTAACAAATGGCCTAATAAGTTAAAGGAACAATGTGTGTTATGAAAAAACAGACGATATGATGGAAGATAGTTACCTTGGTTACTGAAATTCAATGTGTATGTTAACCGTACGAGAGCCGTGCGAAGTACGTCGAACTATATTTCAGTGATTTCACATTTAATGCTTGGTTTCCGTGTAATGTCGGTAAATCACTTTTTCAGGTTCTATTACTAATATAAAATAAATCTTGTATATTTTGTGGTACATTGTTTAAAAATATCTTGATTTAGCCTATAATTTAGAAACAATAACAGTACATTGCTACTTTTATAAGACCGTGACAGGCAATGCAATTTAAGCTAGATTCCCTTTTGATTTCAATATTGGCATCAATTTATAATTATATTTTTCAAATCCTGGAAATCAAGGGGGATGAGGTGTTTCTCCAATATATGGAACAGTCTGGGGATTTTTATCGTTGGCCAACAAGGGAGGATCAAAGTTGGGAAATGGTTTATTCCATAACAAAAAAACTAAATCTCCCCGCAATTGTGGAATATAAAAGTTGTAACCGGTTTCAGTTGTTTAAATTTGTTTAATGAATTATTGGCACCAGTTTTTTCTGGATTTGTTATTTTTATAATAAAGAAAATGTTAAATGTGATTTGTATTTTTCTATTTTGGTGTCCATCATAAAAATGTAACATACACAACCAATTAATTTTCTTGAAACCAAGAAAGACAAATTGGAATTAAAACCAGTAACATTGGAGTCCATTATAAGGCTTATCATTTAACATTAGAATTGATAAATAGAGATTAAATGTTATGGCCATGGTAAAATGTGAGTAAACACTGTACACGCAATAAGGTTTGTAGTTTTTTGTTTTGAAATATTTTGGTCTTAAAAGCGTAAAAAATCTGGATGCTGATATAGCACATGAAAAATTGTGTACAGTTTCAAAGATAGGTTGCCAGGCAACTAAACATACGCCCACAGCAGTTAAATCGTTCGGGCAGTCAACAAGTGTTGTTGCATATTTTTACTTTTTTCGTTAATGAAACATTTATAATACACTAAAATCTGATTAAGAGTAACAACTCATTAAGTAATTATCAGAAAACCATTGGAATTTGTTTGGTTTTTATAAAGTTCTGCCCCATGCTAAAATTTAGTATACGAAACTTTTAATATCATGGATTTAGCTGTTCAAGTCATAAAAGTTCATTGAAAATCAATATACTTGTTCGTCTCAAGATCTTAAAGTAATTATCAGACATCGTTGAAAATCAATAGGATTCTTCGTCTTATGACCTCAAATTTAAAGTCAATCGGATATTAACTTTAGCCTATAGAGCATCCACACAATATTTTGAAGTGATCAAGGGGTATAACTCTGGCAGTAATTATCGAAAATCACTGAAAATGAATAGAATTTTTCGTCTCATGATCTTAAACACTGTGCATAAATTTAAAGTCAATCGGATATTAACTTTAGCCTCTAGAGCGTCCACAAGATTTTTCAAAGTTATCAAGGGCCATTACTCTGGCAGTAATTATCGTAAATCGCTGAAAATCAATAGGCTTCTTCGTCTCATGACCTCAAACACTGTGTATAAATTTAAAGTCAATCGGATATTAACTTTGGCCTGTAGAGCGTCCACAAGATTTTTCAAAGTGATCAAGGGCCATAACTCTGAGAGTAATTTTGGAAATCGCTGAAAATGAATAGACATCTTCGTCTCATGACCTTAAACACTGTGTATAAATTTAAAGTCAATCGGATATTAACTTTAGCCTCTAGAGCGTCCACAAGATTTTTTGAAGTGATCAAGGACCATAACTCTGGCAGTAATTGTCGGAAATCGCTGAAAATCAATAGGCTTCTTCGTCTCATGGCCTTAAACACTGTATATAAATCGGATATTAACTTTAGCCTGTGACGACGCAAGGCCGGGGGCGACGACAATATACGACCACATTTCAATGTGTGCGTATAAAAATTGTACAAAACCTGAGTCACTATTTGTGTCCTGTGTAACATGCACAACCCTTAAACATTAATTCTCAGAAGTTGCATTATATTTTCGTTCTAAAATATGAAAATGTTACATATTTTTCTTTGTATGCAGATAAATTTAAGCAAAATTAGTGAAGGTTTATTTTCTTGCAATTATGTCACACTTTTGTGCACAATACCAAAAAGTGACCCATATACAAACACCAATGCAAACTATCCAATGGAATGCAAGGAAGGTGGAAATGAGTAGCTGTATTACAAGCTATTGATGAAACATAGGTACATACATGTACATAATTGTTTGGAGATAATACTCTACCGTTCTCAGATAACACAGTTTTCATGGAACAACAAGTCGTTATCAAGCATATACACAAGTAGATAAAACAAGCCAACATACTAATTACACGCACATTTATTTTTTTCAAAAGTATCAAGCAATCAAACTGATTATCATCAATTAAAAGCAGCGTTGTTATGTTCCAAAGTCTTCCAATCAAACTGCTTATAGCTCCTTAGCCTCAGCAGAAAATTCTCATCATCCAACTTAGTCAAGGTAATGATATAATGAATCTATACTAGGGGTTTCATTACTCTCACTTAATTATAACCAAAGTTATCGTGCCCCAAAGCATCAACCAATCAGATTGCTTATCTCTGGTTATCGTAAGCAGACAATGTTCATCATCAATCTCTGACAAGGCATTCACCTAATGAACACCTACACCAAGTTTGAACATTCTATCTCAATTAGAAGGAGAGTTACTGTGTTCCAAAGTCTCGACCAATCAAATTGATTATTGCTTCGCTTACCCTTGGCAGAAAATGTTCATTATCAAACTTAGTCAAGGTATTGATGTAATGAAACTATACACCAAGTTTCATCACTCTCACTTAATTAGAACTAAAGTTATCATGTCCCAAAGCTTCAACCAATCAAAATGCTTATCTCTGCTTACCCTAAGCAGAAAATGGTCATTTTCGAACTTCATCAAGGCATTGACCTAATAAACACCTACACCAAGTTTGAACAATCTACCTCAATTTGATTATTGCTCTGCTTACCCTGAGCAGAAACTGCTCATTATTAAACTTAGTTAAGGTATTCATCTAATCGAACTATACACCAAGTTTTATCACATTCACTTTATTAGAACTAAAGTTATTGTGTCCCAAAGCATCAACCAATCAAAGTGCTAATCTCTGCTTACCCTAAGCAGAAAATGCTCATCTTCGAACTCCATCAAGGCATTGATGACCTAATAAACACCTACACCAAGTTTGAACATTCTAGCTCAATTAGAAAGAAGAGTTATTGTGTCCCAAAAAGTGTGACGGACAGACAGACAGACGGACGAACCCATTTTAATAGTCCCCTGCTTTCTTCGAAAGGCGGGGGAAAATAATCAGTTAAACCTAGTATATTAGCTTACATGTATATTCTATTAACATAACATGATACCATTTTCATGTTTTGTTATTTTAAAGAGGATATACAAGTAGGAGTTTAGTTGTATTCAAGACATCTTACTATGCATTATGGAATGAAGATCATCAGTTTCTCAAGTCTGTGATTATATTCATCTTTATACCTTCTTGTGGAGAGAGAGAGAGAGAGAGAGGGGGGGGTTAACCTCCACTGACACAAACTAGGTCATTAGGTCATTTCGGGACTAACATATATTTCAATTTTATTCCAATAATTCGTTTGCGCCATTAGGGGTCTTTAGCAGTGGGAGGAAACCAGAGGCCCTGGAGAAAACCCATAAGGTTGGACAGGCGACCCTACGCCTTGTCACGTACAACTGGGAAATCGAAACCTTATCAGCTGACTCAATGACAGACCTTATGATACAACATGCACAAGCTAACCATTTGCCCCCCCCCCCTCTTTTGGTGTTTGTAAACACATACAATGTTAGAATATAAACATGTGACATCAAAGTCTGGCGCTCTATATTTACATTTGTCATCTTTGAGTTCATGGCAATACATTATTATATTCATATGTTGCAGAATCTGGACATGGATTTCAAATTTGATAGAAAATAAGATAAAC